GTTCCATTTACGGATTGAACCTGTATGCGTTTTAGTGGGACATGAGCAAAAAAACCCACGAATTCCTTTTTGAAACACTTAAAATGGATATTAACGCCAGCGGAAAACTGGACACACAAACACATCAAACACGCACTAAAGGTTAAATTCATAAGTGAGTCGAGACCATTGTGGACAAATTGAGTCTCTTGAGTCTTTTGGAGACAGTTCTCTCCAATATTTTCCTTTGAAAATTGAGTCATTATAAGAAAAAATGAAAATGAAGAAATTCCAAAGGTGATACTTTGCACTCGATAAAGATGATGGGTTTGAGGTCACTTCAGCTGACAAAACTCAATAAAATTTCAATTTCTGTTTAAGGGTTTGTTTTATTTTCATATTTTTGAACTGTTAAAATACACAAGATTATCAATCAATAAATAGGTTCAAATATTTCTAAAAAAATAAGTTTATTCCGTAAAATTGCGTTTTAATATCGAAGTTACATTGTAAATTAGTGGTTTACAGCTTGGCACACTTTATCATAGACGTCTAAGAACGCGTCTTTGCAATTGTACTTTACACGAAGCCATTCGTATAACGATGAGTCAAACATTTGCCAAAATTCGGATCTGCTCATCTGCGTACCTCCATGTAGCATTTTCACTCTAAAAATGCTTTTTCACCATCATATTTACCGTAATCACGAGTCTCTTACCCATTCGCAGTACGTGCAGCTTCTTCTAACCGCCTGATGCTGAGTTTTGAGGGTTCTTTGCCGACACCTAAATACAATATTTGTAAAATTAATAGAATTTGGAAAAAAGTGCAAATGCGGCTCCCACCGTATACACCCACATTGACGAACAGCACATTTCTCCCAGATCGCTGTCGAATCATTCCAGGACAGGATGGCTGGTTATATGGACACAACCAAAGTGGATAAATCTTTAAAGATTGTCATAAATTGTTTACTTTTGGTGCAATGACTAAGAGCCTACCTCTGTTTCTCTGTTGCATACTTCTATGATCTCTGGAAGATGGTCCATAGGAATTAGGAGGTCTTCGTGTATGTAATTCTGTTGAGTGTTTGAACTCAGAAGATTTTGAGCGTTTGCCTAGAAATGAGATA